TTCAAACACAAGGAGTTAAATGCTATATTGTAACGTGGAAATTTTTAAAGTCTAACACTATATGTAACATAGTATGATAGAAAAGTGAAAAAAAAGAAAGTGAGTAGAAGGATTATTGGATAGAAAATGATAGAAGTGATTGTTTGGTAAGAAAGAAGAGAGGATGAAAATGAAAATAAGATTGACAAAAATTATAGTGAAGCGCACCATTTTTTATCTCTCTATTAATAGTAGGAGGAAAACTCAAATCCACTCATTAATAACTAAATTTACTTTTGTGTCCCTATTTTAAAATTTAAATTAATTTTAAATAATTAATAAAATAATCATTTAGGTTATTACATATTTTCTTTCCTTTTGTTATACTAAAACACTATAAAAAAAAAATCAACTTCATTCATTTTTTTCACATTTTATTTTTTTATGTATTTTCTTTCCATTCTTTTTCTTTTTTCTCCTTACCAAACGGAGTGTAACAGTAAAATTAGAATGACCAAAAAAATCAGGTATAGTCAGAGGTGGTAATAAAAAAAGAATAAAACCAGATCCCCGATTTTAATATGCGTGTCCCATTATATAATTATTTTCGTTTACTTTCCTTTCACGTTCTCTTATCACGTTTATCTTTGCTTTACTTCTCAAACAATTTTAGGGGCTGTTAGGCCGCCCAAAATTTAAGTCAAAATTTTTTTAAAAAAATAATTCGAGTTATAATTTTATTATATTCTTTTAAGTTTGAACTCGAGTTTAAGTTTTTTCTTCAACTCGAGTTCAGAAACTCAAACTTAAATTAATGAACAATATTTTTTTCTATTATTAAAAATGCTATAACTTTTTCGTTTTAATTCTGATTGAGATGATTTGTTTTATATGCGTTGACAATGAAAATATGAATAAAACCCCACCTATATACCCTATTAAAATTTTTCATCAACATTGAGTTTTTATTAAAATAGTATCTAAATACAAATTTAAGTTTTGACTTACTTAAATATAAACTCAAAAAGATTCTTATCTCAAACCATAACTCAAATATACACAACTAAACACAAACTCAAGTTATAATTTTAACTTAAATTATAACTCAAATTTAATTTAAAATTTACACTCAAATTACCTAACTCAAAAACGACAAAAGAACAACCTCAATGTCCTAAGTATATAGCACAATATCTTTTGTTCATTTTGAACGAGTAAAATTCGTGCTGACTACTCAAACCCAACGACTTTCAGAAGCCCGTTTGATTAGTCACCGACACTGGTAGACCGTCTAATCATCCAATTGATTTAACTAATTTAATTTATCTAACTATATATATATATATATATATATATATATATATATATCTCCACACGCTATTCTCTGATGTTCAGTTTGCTGAATGACATTTTTACAAATCTACTAAATCCAATCTAATCCAATTTATTTATCTCATATAATATAATATATAATTAATTATGTATATGATATGTAATTAATGTGTAGAGGCGTGTTTGTTAATTTGAATAAGAAATTGTATTATTTGTTATGTTTGATTATTTTTTATTTTTATATTGGATGATGAATTGATGATGGGAAATAAATTCTCATGAAAACAAATGGATTTATCACTTTGAGGACGTTATATAAAATTTAGTACCATTTAATAAGTTTTAACGAAAGTCCAAGTTAATCTAATCATCGAATCCAATCCAAATTCAATAGATATCTAATCGGATTAGATTGGATGATAATTGTTGAGCGGTGGTCATTTTTATGACCAGAAGAATAGGCCCCCGTCAAGGCAGGCTGACGGGAAAGAACAACCCGAACAAGCCGAGCACCTAGTCCGAACAGATTAAGCACCAGGTCTGAACAGGCCAAACACTAGGTCTGAACAGGGAATAACAACCCCAATAGGCCGGGCACCTAGTCCGAACAAGCCAAGCACTTGGTCCGACTAGGATGACAGGGAGGAACATCTTGAACAGGCCGAGCACTTGGTCCGAGATAGGCTAAATAGGCTGAGCAGACCAAACAGGGAAGAACATTCTGAACAAGCCGAGCACCTAGTCCAAACAAGTCGAATAGGCCGAACATCCTGAACAGGCCGAGGACCTGGTCCGAATAGGCAGAACAGGGAAGAACATCCCAAACAGACAACAGGGAAAAACGTCTCGAACAGGCAGAACATTTGGTCCGAATAAGCCAAACAGGCCGACCACATCAAACAAACCTACCTGGCCGAGCATGCCGAACATGCAGATCATGCCGAATAGTCCAAAAAGACAGACCAGGGCGAGCACCTTGCTCGAATAGGTCGAGCACTTGATCTAAGCCGACTGAGCACCTGGTCCGAGCACTAATCGACACCGACTGGCGGAACATGACAAGTTTCCAATCAGCCAACAGACTACCACATGGCCTTCTCTCCACAATCTCAATGGGGGCTCCCCCACCAATGCGGGCGCGACATGTGTCATATGACCGGTACAACTTTAAACCTGGGTCACCTCTGGGTTTTGGGTCGAATCCGGACACTACCCGGATCCGAAAATACTCTATAAATACCAAGTTCATCAGCTCACAAAGGTGCGAACATTTTTCCGCACCTAACTTTGCACACTCATTTGTTGCTCTTGACCAGAACACTGACTTGAGTGGCCGAGTGCCATTGGCAGACACCACACTAGTGTCCCTCTCACTCCGAGGTCATCTCCTCTTTCGTTGCAGATCAGAATAATGCTAGGACCCGAGCAGAACAATGCTAGGGATCCGTTTCAAACAGTGCTAGGGATCTGTCCCGAATAGTGCTAGGACCCAAGCAGAACAGTGCAAGGGATATGTCCCGAATAGTGCTAGGACCCGAGCAGAACAATGCAAAGGATATGTTCAGAACAATTCTAAGACCCGAACAGAACAATGCTAGAGATTCGTTCCGAACTGTGCTATAAATCTAACTAGAAGAGACAGAGAATAGAGTTCAGTTACTGTGCTTTTCTACGTACAAATGTTGTGCCTGATTTCGACATCAACGATAATATTGTATTGGATTTGATTTGATGGATTCCAAAAAAAATTTATTAGATTGGATTGGATTATTGATGGTAAATATCTATATATATATATATATTTATATATTGGTTTTGATCCCATGCGTTATTCGTGCCTCACCTTTTCCTCTTGTTATGCGTTATGGCCTTTGCTCCGCAAGATCGTTTGTTATTTTAATTATTATAGTTATTTTTCTTACTGTTCAGTTTGGTTTAAGTTTATAATAATGGTGGTTTTTAGTTTAACCTGTTTGTTCATTTGTTTGTTAATTTAATTTTTGATTGTGGTTTCTATCCACTAAATTTGTTTTATGGCCATTTTTTTTTATGTTTTTATTGTGTTTTTTTTTTGTGATTATTAATATCAGTTGATTATATATTTCAATTCATTGGTTTAGATCTGTTACATAGCCATATTATGTGCTTGAAAATTAAAATATTCAAATGTATCTGGTAAAAGTACCTACAAAATTGGTTTATCATAGAATAGCGAAACATAATATAATAAACTAGTTATTATATTTAGATAAATGTATGAAATATATAATTTCTCAAAATATATGTAAACAAAAGTTGGTTTGGTTTGATTTGGTTTGTTTTTTTAAGAGTAAAATCACAAATCAAACCAACTTAATTGATTTTTTAAAAATTTAAATTATACCAAACAGATTATTATTTAATTTTGTTTGGTTTTGCTTTGGTTTGATCAGTGTAATTGGTTTGAATGGTTTGAGGTATACCTTTAATATTGGGTGTACTATATATGTTAGGCATCTATTTGTGGAGCTCAGTTAGAGATGATAATTTTACGTGTTTATCCATTAATCTATGGAGACTCATATTAAACGGGACGGAATAAATCCACTTTAAACGGATGACGATTGTAAACGGATTAAAATTTTAATCAATCATGAATCACCGGTCAGAGACAGATTTAGAGTTTTATGATCCTATTCTCCATTTATTCACCTCATTTAATTACATGCTATTTTAAAACTAAATATATTATATGTAATATCCTATAGTATATAATTTTAAGTATAATATTTTACTTAATATATATGAAAATTTAAAATTCCATTCTTTTATTTTAACGTTTTGTATGGTTGTATTGATTATTTATTTATTTATTTTATAATAGAAATAACTAAGTGGATAAGGGAGCACGATAAGTACTTTAAACTCATGATAAGAAAAATCTGCCATACCTCGTCAATTTATATGAGTTAATAAAACGAAATAACGAGTGTTTTTATTCATAAAACGGGTTGACGAGAAAATCACTTCATTTTAAATTCGCCCGATTGTCATCTCTAAATCTTTTTATTATATATATATATATATTAATGAGAGAAAGAAGAAAATATGTCAAAATTTAAGATGAATTAAAATTAATAGGTTAAAAGTTTACATAAGTTAATAAATAGACAAAATTACTGTTTACGTCCATAACTTGTCTAGTTATAAACCATAACTTGATAAGTTATTGTCCATAATTCACGATTTTTATCCATAACTTGTCTGGTTATGAACCATAACTTAATAAATTTGTCCATAACTTATCTGATTATGAACCATGACAAGTTATGATCTATTAATTTATATAACTAAAAGTTGACCTATCCCGTTCGGTTCGCTAATTCGAGTTGAGATGTGATGTTGTGTGAGTTTTTTACTGTAATAAAAAAATTAAATGTGACTTTTTCTAAAAACTTTTTACTGTAATAAAACTTAAATTTTAAACTCGAATCAACGAAAAAATAGACCTTAAACTTTTCGGCCTATTTTCTATTATTTCCGTATATTAATTATTTAGCCTTACAAGGAAAACGAAATAAAAAATAAAGTGTAGTACGAGTCTTGATAGGTAAGAAGTAGGTGGGTTAGACATGCCACTTGGATATGCTTACGATACTTGTGGTTTTGACATGAAAGTGCTTTCACGCGTACTGTTGCCAACCCCATCATCACAAAGAGAATATATATAATAATGTATATTTGTAAACTAATAAAGATCACTCGTTTTTAAGTAAGAAAATAAATTCCATGTGACAGAGAGAGAGAGAGAGAGAGATGATAGACCAAAAAACAAACATAGATAATTTATTGCATAAACTAATAACGGTGGGCGGTGATGCAAAGTGGGTTGGTAAAACCAACGGCGGTGATTGAATTATTAGACGGGTTGATTTTTAAGCAAGAATCCGCTCAATAGGCTTGGATTCATCATGACGTTTGGCATTCTCCAAGTCTTGCAATTGCTTCTCCTTGGCAAGCTTTTTGAGCCTGGCAAGCTCAATATCCTTGCTCATTTTCCTCCTATACATTTCAGCAAAAGTGATGGGCTCTTCAAGAATAGATTTCTCTCCTTCTCTGATCTTCAGTGGATAAACCGTGGCCTCTGGGGCTGGGTTTTGGAATGTGGCTATTGACAACCTGCTATAGTTTGAGTTCACCACTGCTTGGTGATCAGCATTCCTGAACCTTCCATTGCTCAGATACTGCTCAATTAAAACACAACAAATGAAATTAATTGCTTGCTTGGTAACATATATTATGCAAGCCCAAAAAAAAAAAAAAATCACCAAAATGTAAAATTTAGGATTAGAAAATTTTAAAGGAGCGAAAAAAAAAAGTAAAACAATAATTAAAAAAAAAAAAAAAACACATTGAACGAGCCACCCGGGCGGCTGCACTGCAGCCTCCGTCCCGTGGAAAAATCAGACTTGAAATATTTCTAGCCATCTTTTACCCAGTCACCACTTAAACTTGTCTTATTCCTAGTATAACCAAGCTCTCAATATCTGAATTCCAAATCCGCCCAACTAATTAGAAAACTTCTTTGACACAATCCTTAAGGCATGAAAGTTGGTGCTAATCTTGACCTAATGAACCAATATATAAGGATAAAAACTGTTAATTTTGTAGTTTAAAATTCAGTTCATTTTATTTGAGTTTTATTACAATAAAAAACTCTTAAAATTAATTATATTTAACTTTTTTAAAATCACTCAAATTAAAAATTAAAATCAATTAAGACCCTAAATATATATACTCACGTGACCATGATCACCAAGGTTGACCACAAAGGCAGCTTCAACAGGTTGAACGGTGATCCAAGTGTTTCCTCCATCTCTAGTGGACTGGAGACCACCAACCTGGTCCTGGAGAAGAAGTGTGATTGTTCCTGGATCTGTGTGGCGCTTCAGGCCAAGAGTGAGATCCGGTTGGGGACATTTGGGATAGTAATTGATCACCACTTTTTGGTCCATGTCCACACAAGCCTTGGTTAGAGCCTCCTTATCTAATCCCATGGCTTCTGACAATACCTCCAACAGCTTGCAAGCCAGGCCCATAAGCTTCTCGCTGTACTCCTCCGTCACCGCGATCCAGCCCTCCGGCTTGTCGGGCCACCGCGAGTAGTCCCTGTGGCGGAGCGGGTAGGAGAAGTATGTCACTATCTCACGCCAGTCGTTAACCGCTTCACCCTGGTCAGATTTGCATATTGTTTGATTATGATATCATGATTACAGTCATATAAATGAGCATATTGGAGAAATCACATTTGTGATAGCTAGACTATATAAAATCTTACTACTCTTAAGAAACAATATTTAATGTTGGATGAAAATCTGACGGTTCATAACTAAAATGTTCACCAACACAAATGTTGGCCGTATGGTGAACCTTTATGTTGATTTAGACAAAAATGTGAAAGAATTTTTTTTTTATTTTTTTATTACCTGTAAGTGGCTGGAGACAATGAAACCGCCTTTTTTGCCACCGGACATGTCGAATCGGAGCTTCTCCTCGGGAGGCAAGGCGAAGAACTCGCGAGCAAGACGAGACATATTAGAGATGAGTGCGGCATCAACGCCATGATCAACAACCTGGAAGATACCCCAGTCCTCACAGGCCTCCACTATCTTCTTGCAAATCTCAGCACGGCGGCCTTCGACCTCGTCGATCCCGGCTAGGGAAATGACCGGAATCTCGGTGCTGAATTCGTTGTAGGCCACTTTTGGACGCTCATCTTCGTCTCGGACGAAGCTGCCGTGAAGTGTTTTTTCTTCAACAAGAGCCGTGAGAGTTTTGGGAGCCATTATTTGGTTCTTTCTATGTGCTCCTTTTATTGTATGTGTATGAAATGAATGATGCTAAAACGGTTTTGGCCAAAGTGAAAAAAAGTGTGCGAGTTTTTTAAGGAGTGATGGCAAAGGGTTATTTATATACCCAAATAAAAAAATTATTTGTTTGGCAGATTTGAGAGAGGTTGGTTGGCACGTGGCAGCTACAACTACCTCTCACGTCGTGAGTCGTGACTGCCTAATTTTAATTATTTTTTAAACGAAAGAAAAATAAAATCTTCTTTCTCTCGCTCACTCACGACTCAATGAGAAGATTCGAAATCCAAGGAAAATATACATGGAATGCTTTTATCCTTCTTTCTCTTTTATTATTGTAATGAAGGTTTCACACAGATAATTAGATACATTGAGGGCCGATAGTTTGTATTTATATTTTTAAATAGTAAAATAAGATAAACATAAATTGAGATTTTTTATTAGTGTTTAGATAGTATTTAAAAAAATTCTTTTATATTTAAAAATAGTTTTTGAACTTATTTAAGTAAAAAAATTAAAAACACTTAAGTTATGTTTGGAAGTTAAATTTTGTGGGAGAAAAGAAATATGAAGGAAAAAGAAAAAAAAACAAATAAGGGAAAAAAATAAAAAATTTGTCACCTTGTTTGGAACCTTAAGAAAATTTATAAGAAAAAAAAGTCAAAATCCATTCAAATTTTTTATTTCTTGTTTGGTAGTTGAAGAAATTTATATATATAAAAATAAAAGAAATTTGATTTTTTTTTAAAAAAAATACATCAATTTATCTCTACTCATTCTCTCACCTCACTTTCTCTCTCCTCACTTTCTCTCACTTCACGGTTGTCGTGTGCTCCTCTGAATCTGGAATACCACAGGCTGTCGTACGATCCACTCAATCTGGAACACCACGGGGCTACACTCCGGCTCGCCGCCGAACTAAAACAGAAACCGGGGATCCGGTTTGCACTTGACGACGATGTACAGCCTGACGGCGTCTCCGCCAAGCTTCATCTACCCAGCCTGAAAAACAACTAGCTTGGAGTTGTCGCCGGCGAGGGCGATGTGGAGACGGCCGAAGAGCTTCCCGTTTGAGACGCATGCGGCCGGTGTAGAGGGAGATGCGGAGGGTGAGATGGCACCGGGAGGAGAGGCAGCAGAGGGCGGCGGAGTCGAGGTGGAAGCCGGCGGAAGAGTAGCGGAGTCAGGGGGAGAGACAGAGGAGGTGGAGAGAGGGAGGAGAGTGGTCTGGGAAGGGAAGTTGTAAAGGCGGAGCTTGTAGAAGCAGGGCGTGGCTGATGGGTGGACTCCCTGAAAATTTTTCCCATTTAAATTTTCATTTTCCACCCAAATTTTTAGGGAAAATGAAATTCACCATTTATGTTATACATTTTGCACTTATTTTTCTATGTTATTTTTTTTTCCACATTTTCCTTTGGTTCCAAACAGAGAAAAGCTAAAATCCATCACATTTTTTTATTTCCTCCAAATAATACGGGTTCTAAATAGGACTTTATTGTTATAAAAGTAATGTAATAAAAAAGATATGGATGTAATATTTAATTTATTGTTCATAAATAAAAGATTATAAATATAAATAATTTTTTTTTTTAAAGTATTACGGAGATGATTTATTTTAAAAATATTTAAAAAAAATAAAAAATATTTAAAATTATCTATCTAAACAGATTTGAAAGTGATTTTTAGACTAAATAAATTAAAAATTGCTTTTTTAAAGGCAATCTAAACGGGCTTGATTTAATTTTGAATATCTGGATGTGATGATCTCATTCATTTTTTTCCCCATCCGGTGTAAGTATTTGCTTTGCACTATAAAATAACCAGCCATTTTAACCAACGAAGACGAGTATTGGACTTCTTGTAGTACTGGACTTATAATTTTACAAAATTTTCTGATGGCTTTTTGGGGGATTAAAAAAATACTAGCGCCCCAGATTTGCTTAAAAATGCTGCTTTTAATTTTATTTAGTTTAAAAGTCACTTTTAAATTTATTTAGATAGACAATCTTAAAGTATTTTTAACTTTTTTAAACACTTTTAAAACAAACTATTCCTTAGTACTTATGAAAAACATTTTTATGTACATTTTTAACTTTTTATTTGTGGACAACAAATTAAATATTTCATATATATTTTTTATTACATTACTTTTTATAACAATATGTATTTTTTACTTTTTTACTCAAACTGGTTCAAAAGCTCGTTTTAAATATGAAAATACTTTTTAAACACTAATTAAAAAATCATAATTTATATTTATCTTATTTTACTACTTAAAAGTACAAGTATAAACTATCCTAAATGGACCCTAAGTTTACTTTTCTTAACATTTGCCTGATTTTTTTATTAGGAACATTTGTCCTGAAATTTGAATATGTAAATAAGAAATTCAAATCCGTACTCTTTAACATTCTATTTCTTTGTTATTTGTCTCATAAAGATATTCTCTCATGCAATTCATCAGTACCCTACTAAATTAATAGTTACTCTTATATTTATTTAAGGTATCATTTTTTAACAATAAGATATTAAAATTTTGATTATTTTATTGATTTGAGTTTTACTACAGTAAAAAACTTTTAAAAACAGTCACATTTAATTTTTTTATTATAGTAAAAAGATCTCACATAAAGTCACATATAAACTTGAATTAAAAACTCGAATTAGCAAACTAAACGGACAATAATTCGACAGTTGTAATAAATTAAATAATTAATAAAAAAATTTATAATACTTAATAAGACTATATTTTTATCACATAATGTTATTAAATTTTTATATTTAATAAATAATTCCAATAAAAACGTAATTATTGAAAGTTGGTCCCCGCATTTGCTTAAGAGAAAAACAAAGAATTAGATCTGTCATAAAATATAATAGACAATGATGTATTAATAGGGTTTGCTGTTTGGTAGGATTTGTGGCCATACTAGCGTCACGTGATCTTAACCAAACTTGGACTCTATTCTTGTCATGCATGCACGTGCCTAGGCTAGCTAACTACCAAATACCACAATATGAGTTTTTGTTAATTTTATACGTGCCTTTTACGAATAATGCATAGTTTGTTTCAAATTATTACTAATTCGTGTAGGATTGTATTACTGCCACTTGAATATTTGGTTTCTACCAAAGAGCGTCTTTTCCTTTTTTTCATGCTCAGACTTTTGATTGTTCTAGAAATTAGATATATCTAGGTCTCGTTCATTTAACTGATTCGAATTTTCAGTTCTAAGTTTTTACAGTTAAAAGCTCTTAAAAAATATCACATTAACTTTTTCTGTTATTGTTAAAAGCTATAAGAAAATATCATATCTCAACTCAAATTAAAAACTCAAATTCGTAAAGCGAACGAGACCCTAGTAGAATGATTTGACTTCTAATGCCAATTCTAGCCTCTAGGTTCATTATGACTCGTCACGTTAAAAAGGGAAAACTACCAATTCCCAAGTTGATGGGCGCGTTTGGAACTCGTTCCAAAATAATTTTATTTTTTGTATGAAAATGAAAATGAAAACGTTTTCAATCTCAGAAATCATTTTTGAAAATGCGTTTGGTAGTTTTATCAAGAGATTGTTTTCAGTGTAAAAAAATCCAATTATATCTATCTTTCTCTCTCTCTACTTGAAAGAGGAGAAAATGAAAATAAAAATGAAAAACGATTAAAAGTTGTTTTTCATTTCTCTCTCATTTTACACTAAATTAAAAAATCATTTTTATTTCCGTTTTTGTCTTTATTGCACCAAACGCCGTTTTAGAAACGTTTTTATTTTTTTCTCAAAAAATGTGAAAAACAAAAACGAGATCAATTCCAAACACGGCCATCGATATATCAACTAATGACGTGAAGTAATCTGTTGTTTATACTATATCAACATGTATATATATATATATATATGTATATAGGTGTGATGTTAATAGTTATTTTAATATTTATTTATTGTTGGATACTACTATTTTAATATTGATGAGACAATGTTATAAATTAAGTAGTTGATAATTAAAAAATGTACATCAATTAAATAAATTGGCCCAAAACTTTATAGTTTCAATTAACCCCTTATCTTCACAACCAAATTAATTGGTATTGACAATATTTGGTATGGACCGCAATCGTTTGACTAATTTAGGGTATTATTCACAAATAAAAGATCATTGTAGCAAAGTTTTAGAGGGAAAAGAAAAACTTTAAAATTTATGTCTTTAATATACTATTGGAGAAATAGTTCATCGTAGAAGTTTCCAAATATTTATGTAATATGGTAGATTATAGTAATGTAATTTATAGGTTTTAAATTAAGGTAATTTTATTTGATCAGCAAAAAAAAAAAAAAAAAAGGTAATTTTATCTTCACATTTCTTTTAATTGTTATTATTTATTTACTTACATGTCTATAGTGCGAGCTGTCGGTCAACTCATGATACTCTAGGAAAGGTGAGTGCTCCTTTTACAAATTCTTTTTATTTTTCTTGTGAAACAACGATTGAGTACCGTATTTGTTTACTCTCTCTCTCTTTTTCTTTTTCCCCTTTAAATTTTTGCCTTCTTATAGAAAAAAAAAGTTATGCTCTGTTTATTTTGAGAGTTCTGGCATAGTTTTGGATCATAATTCTTAATTCGTTATAGTATTTTTCTCTTATAAAAAATTTAAATTTTAAAAATTAAAATCATAAACCATAATTCTAAACATATGAACCAAACGTCACCTTAATAATTATTTGTCTTATTGACTTTAATTCTCAATAACATGAACGAAAAGAAGAAAAGTGCTCATTAAGGATACTTAATTACAATTTTATTATTTGTTATAATAAATCTTTCTCAAGTTTTTTTTTTTCTGACTACGTTATGTGAAAATAAAAATTATAGTAATTTCTGAGAATTGAGTTGAAAATAGCATTTTTTTTAAATATTTTAAGACTAGGAAAACTACATAGTAATAATAATATTCACAATTTTTACTACAAAATTATGTATAATTATCTAATAGTTATAAATTTTACTATTTAAAAAAGAGATAAATATCTCTTAGGGTATGTAGGTCTAAAATTTTACTTCTAATTCTTAATCAATATTATTTTTAGTTAAATAATTATATTAGTTAAAAGGGTATTAATTAAGTATAAAGGATAAAAATCTATACCCATACACTTTAAAAGATAAGCTCAATTTTCTCATATCTCATAAAATAAAAAGCCGATTCTAAAAAATAAAAAAGGGGAAGCTGAATAATCCCGTACGGCCTAATAACTTGAGGTTCATGGGTAACCAGAATTTTTATTATTTACTCTTAATTTATAACATTTTTAGTTAAATAATTACACTAATAATAATAATAAGATATTTATCAAAAATAACACGCTTTAAGCTAAATTCTCCATTTTTTCTAACATAAACCCAGAAGGGCCCATATCAAAATGGAAAGGCCAGTATTTCTTACAAAGCCCAATAACCTGAGGCTATGTGTGTTCAAATAATACAAGTCCCAACGGCTAGTTTTTTGACCCGCCTGTGCCGTACACGCGCCAACGGTCATATGTTGCCGTGTAAACCCCCGTTTTGCTGTTCTTAATCTGTTATATAAACTCTCTTGCATCTTTTCCCTAAAGACATCCATTTTACTCTCTCTCTCTCTCTCTCTCTCTCCCTCTCTCTCATCAGTTCTCAGAGTTCTTAGTGTTTCCGAAACTTTCTTAATTCAGATTTCAATGGAGACTCCATCGTCCACGATAAGGGTCACAAGATCTCAGACTTTGACCGGTCTCAACAACAATATTCCCTTCTCAAGTAAGTTGATAATCTAATCTTTCACTTTCTTTTTTTTTTTTTTTTTTTTTTTTTTTTTTTTTCCACAAAAAAAAAAACAAAAACTTGGTGGTTTTCTTATTTTTCTTCGTTGCTTCTTGTTTCTCTACCGAAAAAACCGAAGATTCCGAAAAGGGTCTTTCGAATTCGAGGCAAAGAAGGGCGAAGCCGCAACAAGACCGGTCTGCGCTGATCGACATCACGAACGATTCTCCAATCGTCGGTCTCGCGACGGGCGGGGCCTTGGAAACCCCGTCGTCGTCGATGGCGAAGCAACGGAGCAGCCGGGCGAAGAAAACTCCGGGGTCCGGAGAGGCCTTGCTGAGAGGTCAGGTGAAGACCCTTTTGCAGAAGGTGGAAGAAGAGGCCGAGCTCTCAAAGATCTCGCTCGATAGCCGCCCTTTTCTTCGCGTTAAGGGCGTTGCGAACTCTCCCGCCGGGCTTCTTGCCCCGACCCCGGCGAACACCCCTCAAGTCTTGAATCCTTCCGGTGGGAATGAAAACAATGGTTTGTCCTCTGAGGCTCCTTCTCCGCTTGTTGAAGAACAATTAATTTCTCAGGTGAGGTTAAAAGTAAAAATTATACTTTTCGGGGTTCTTGTGGAATTAGCCGTTGCATTATATCTGTTTGTGAATTGTCCCACAAGAGTTTTGATTATCAAAACAAAATTTTACTTTTTGGGTTCTTGTTATATTGATTAAGATTGCATTTATCTGGTTGCAAATTTCTATTTTCTGATTATTAAGGTTATTCTGATTTGAATTATTTTTATTCGGTTTAGGTGATTGATGAGGAGGAAGAGAGTCTTGAATTGCAAAAGAGCATAATCACCCGGTCTTTACTCCTAGATTTCTCTGAGAAATCTGATAGCTGTGACTCATCAGAATGTTCCTCCGTGCTGACCAAATCCAAAGAAAAGTCGACCCCGGACGATGATAATTCATCTGTCTGGTCTGTTCAGGTAAATGCCAGTACACTCGGCGAAGAGGACGAAGAAGAAGAAATCGAAGATGAAGAAGATTATTATGTTGAAGAAGAAGGTGATGAAGTTGAAGAAGAGGGGAATGATGAGATGGTTGATGAGCTGTGTCAATTTCTAAGCAAGATTAGCATGAATGAGAAGCCACTTCCCAAGTTTGAAGGGAAGCACACAAGGTTTGTGTACAACAGTGATGATGAGATTATTGAAGAAGAAAACGAGGCTTGTTCACCGAGCGTCCTGCGTTTGAATGGCTTGCCAACACCGAAAGGGAAGCACCTGCGCTTTCTTGAGGAAGAACATGAGTGATGAAAAGAAGAGGGAATGGATCTTTGATGATGAAAAGAAGAGGGAATGGATCTTTGCTCTTGTACTGCGATACATATTGGTTCAGATTGTTTGGGGAGTTTATTTTGTTGTTTGTTTGTCATTTTCTCGGTGATTCTTTCGTTTTTGGGGTTTTAGACTTAGAAATGATGGAAAGAATTGGATGCCACAAATTGTGGTTGAATTGGTGTTGGAAAATAATACATTTGATTCAATGAATTTTTACTTCAATTAGTTTACATTTTAACTGCCCTACTTGTTGCTATTATTGATTAATGTTTTGCTGTCAAGTTAAAAACATTGATGACTTTGGGGAATGAATTTAGCCCCCAATATTATCTAACAAACGTTAATGCAAAATTAGTATAGAAAAAGCAGGATATTTTCGGAGACTACATCCGTATTCATTTTATGCAATGTACCACCACCAAAAAAAAAAAAAAAAAAAAGTTAAATAGATCAGGTATTTCAAAATTCCGAGGAGGTTGTTTGTATGATTTGTTGTGTTTCCCGTTAATTCCAGTGTTGAATTTACGAGTCAAGTGAGTTCTCCATAAGTAATGTAATTTTTCATGTGAGATAATTCTACACCAAAATAGAAATTAGTGATTACAATTATTACAACCAAGAAGCGTATAATCCCAAATTTTGTCTCTTACCTAGAAACTAGAAGTTAAGCCTGAAGAATGTTCGTCATATATACACGTTTAAATATGTACATTAAATTATAATTACAAATGGAAACTACAACTAGCCTTGGAAAATAAATTTCCTTTTGTTCTCTAATCTACATGTTCACCCACATCAAAACCAGGGATGCCATGTCGGATCCATCGTGCACAGATTCCTAGGTGTCAAGGCAGCCTCAACCAACTCGGTAACTCCTCTCTGCACTGACTGTGGCGGGTCCATAGCATTCTCCTCCTGAATTCATTGAGAAAAATGTCATCATGAATATCTCTTATAGTATCTCAGTGAAAAATGTCAAGTGGCATTACTTTCTCATGTATAATTTTCAATCTAAGCCGGAATTTGAGACGCTGTGGAATTGAAAGGGGACGATTACCTCTTCGGAGAAGTATTGTGGGGCTATTCCGTTGATCCGGCTTATGACATGATCAACATTGGTAGTGACTTTTTGTTTAAAGTCCAAGGGGGTCATACTACTACTGCCTCCAACAATAGGGGCAATGGGCATTCCAAGGGGTCTTCTCCAAGACCACGACAGCAACTCATCGCGGAAAAACATGGCTAGCTGATGCCAAAGGTGCTGACTTTGCTGCAACATAGATAGATAAAAGATGAAACAAAGAACTTTTTTTGAAGTTTGTTGTGACAATGACAAAAGTTCTACAAGTAAAGCTAACCTTAGGTGAAACCACAGCCTGTGCTGCAGCACACATTGCGGACACAATGAGGCCTTCCACTCCAAAATTGGAGAAGAAAGCTTGCATATTCCTTGTAAGACGGAAAGGCACTGGTTCATTGAACTCTATCATCCCATTTGCGTCGTATGCGGGGTGAAAATCTGTTTGGAATATTTTCCCCGTGTTCTTTGCGAATAAGATCTTGTTTGGTGACCTTCCTCCAATTTGTAGCATGAAAGACATGAAGCTTGATAGAGCCAACTGGATGGCAAATTGCTTTTTGAAAGCCCACATATGATTGCCACTTGATAGGGTCTTGTACATGTACTGGGAGAAGATGCCATCAGTTACAAGATTTCTCGTGATGTCGGTATAAGCTTGCAGCCGAAGATCTACAATAGCCTCTGGTGAGACTTGGCCAGTTATAGCTGGGTTCAGTTGTTCTTTGAAATAGGTAATAGGAAGATCTGCCTCTCGGTCATTCCTTGCACAATGGTTCTCATACACCTCAAGGAACGTGCTGTACATTAAATCCTCTTCCACCATGCGTACCTGCAGTCACGCGGAGAGATATTGCTTAGAATAAAGTACGAACACATGTGAAAGTCAGACTATAACGACTTCTCAAAGGCCAAGCAAAACGATGCACTACTAGATCACTCTACAAACGAGGAGATCACTAATGTTGGTCTAACCAATCATTTGCAGGTGTATCCATGCAAAACAGTTGAAAAAAAAAGTGAATACTACGTCCTACATATCCTAGAAAGTTCGTCAAGAAATTAGAAAGTGCAAGATAACAAGACGTGTAGAATGAAAAGACAAACCTGTGACCAAACAGGAATAATGATCGGGGTGTGAATGGAGATGTGGCGGCGCCTTGATTCCTTGTGCTTGTCAAACATTTGGTTCAACACTCGGAAGAGCTGCAATATACGTTCATCACTTCTAGCGTTTGGGGTCAAAGATGTTTGGACAATAAAATGGCGTTGAGAACCATCAGAGCCAATTAGAGTCAAACGGCGGAAACTACTTCCATGTCTCCGCACAATGGGAATGTCAGCGCCAACCCTGTCTAGCTTGACTGTATGGTCTGGTGCAATTTCCTACAGCACAAGACGGTATAATTTTTTAGCAAAACTAGTGATAAAATACATCAAAAACCATTTATTTTTTTATTAACCAAGTACTTACATACACTTTCAGCTAATAAAACCTAGTTATTGAATATTTCAAACAAACCCCGAACATGGTGCTTTAATTACCTGATCGCAGAAGTATTGCCCTGGAACTTCCACATCGACCACATGGAAGTCTCGCAGGACCCTACTTTCTTCTTCCAGCTTCAAGACAGCCGGAAACCTGTCCTCAACATTGCTCTGAAGAACATTTTTCCAGTGTTTCAATCTCTCAGTAAGTTCAGAGAGGCTTCCAGGGAAAGTGGCTGTGCTTTCAGGATCAAGGTCACGCTCAAAATCCTGTTTGTACTCTCTCACGAAATCAACATGCTTATTAACAGCATCAGCAGAGAAGCAAGCTCTACAAACACCAGATAGCTCCTTCTTGAGAGATTGGGGAACCTCAGCTGTAGTGGCAGTCGGATACTTGTAGCAGCGGTGAAGCAGTGCATTAACTACGGCAAGAAGCCTCTCCTCCGGTAAAGTGACAAACCTTGATCCGATCTCTGTGAGCAGAACCTGAAGAGGAGAGAGAGATATGTTACAGAGTTAGAAATACAAAGAAAACAAGAATTACTTGGGGGTAAAGAAAACTATGCATATTATGTGCATATGCTAGCCACATGTACTATTTATAGATGTATTTGCACAGACAATATATAGGAGTGTGTCTGAATGTAGACAACATAAATACATGTATATTTTAAGAAACCAGAACATGGTGGTCACCTCAAGTTCACTAGCTAAATTTGTGTGCTTGCTTCTAAGAGCCTCCATTATATCCTTTGCAGCATCGAAAGCACTGGCAGCGGAAGCCACAAAACCCAAATTACCATTACGCCTTAATGCATTCTGACCGCCATCATTGATGCTTGAAGAGCTTTGCTGCGCAGGCTGGTCACTACCTGGATGCACACCAGTCTCCACACCACTGGACCTCTCAGGTTCCTGCCCATGAGTACTTCCACCATCATGAGAGCCAATAGCACCACCAGATTGAGTTGCTGGGTGAACTTGGTTCTCCGATGATAAAGTAACCCCACCATGACCCTGGACTCTTGCATTTCCATCAGCAACTAAGCCAATGGAAGCAGAAACGGCACCAGATACACCTTGTTGCATTCTTTGTTGAGCCATTGCTATTCTGTTTGCTTCAGATTTACTTGCTACATCACGACGTTCAAGCAAATATGTGCGCAGCCAATAATACAGGGCCTGAAATTAAGTGTAACTGTTAGATATATTTGTTAAAAAAAAAAAAAAAAAAAAAAAAAAAAAAAAAAAAAAAAAAAAAATCCTTCAAAGTTAATATGTATCGCATTTACCTGCGGATAAACAGTAGCAACTTTTAGTAGAACAAGCTTGCAATGAGGAGCTTCTGTTCTCTGCAAAGAAAGCAGGAGTTGAAAAAAAAAACAGATACAAGAATAAATCAAAATCCTTCAAAGTTAATATGTATCGCATTTACCTGCGGATAAACAGTAGCAACTTTTAGTAGAACAAGCTTGCAATGAGGAGCTTCTGTTCTCTGCAAAGAAAGCAGGAGTTGTGGAATCCATGAAAGCCAAACCCAATGAGGAATTTGCTCTAGATACTTGTCAAAAGCCCTTCCCACGGGTTCATTAGGTGAATCGAAGCTAAGAAGATATAGAACGCGAGCTAGATGGCTTCTTGAGTTAGATATTCCAAATTTTATGCCTTGAAGAAAGCAGCTGACAGCATATTCCAGCCAAATCTCTTCTTGAGTTTCTTTGTAAGCCTGTATACACAGGAAAAATAAGCAACAAAATTTGAAAAATTGGTATCTAGATCAGGTAGACAATGACCAAGTAAACAAAAATCATATAAAAAAATAATACCATGTCACAATAATTTCCCCAGCTTATCCATCCTTTAGGCAAATTTTTGAATAGGCTTATGGCATTGGAGTATTCAAGATTAGCACCTTCAGAATTGTTTAACTTTAACAAGAAATCCCCTTTTAGACGATAAATTTCTGCTTTGTGTTTCACTGGAAAGTACTCTAAATTGGTGCTGTTAATCAGATTGAGACCACTGGTAAGCTCTCCTTTCATCTCCAGATAAGCTTGTGCTTGCTCTCTTATCTTAGTAAAGGCCTCCTGCAAGCATAGACCAGAAAAGTAGATGAGAAACCTATATCTATTACTGCCTTTTACAACCATTAGAGAATATTCTTTGGCATGTGTAGAAAGAAGTGTACGCATTTCATGCCCTTTTTGAGTATTTAATATCTCCATTAGAATATCTAAATATGGGTATTTCTTTTTAAATCACCAAATAGTAGAAATATCACCACAAAAGAAATCCAAGCCAATATGATAAAATTCATTGTCAAAGATTTCAAAAATCAATTAAGAAAACCAAGCGTAAACTCAGAGGTCCTCTAGAGTTCATCGTTATCTGCACAAATTCATAATGAGCATACGAAAATGAAACCAGACATAATTTTATGAATTCTATGCAACTGAGAGAGTTCATTTCCACCCTCGGCAAACAGACAACATATTGAGCGTAGTTTTTAAATACCTGCACTTCCATGGTTGAATGACCATACATCTTTTCAAGTATTGTTACGCAAACATCATAAAGGCCTTGCTTACGAGCAATGTGAGCAAGCTTGTTAACATTCCAGGCTTTGTCACGATAACCAAGGTGATGAAGTTGTGGA